TATATATATATATATATATATATATATATATTTATGTATTTACTTTCAAATTAATGAAACAATATTTAGTTTGTTTGTTTGTTTGTTTAAAATTATACTTAGCAGTAGTCATTGGTTGGAACTTTTTTATTTGTTATGACAGTCTTTTTAAAATGATAAACTGCAGCCTGTAAATAATTATTGACAACCTTAAATTCTTGAAAAGTCATCGATTTCAATGATAGTTTTTATATCTTTAGAATTATCATTCTCAAGTAATCACAAACAAAAACCATGAAAACGTTCATTGATCTAAAGGTGTTTGACCCCTGAATAGACTGCGGGAGAACATTTTGGATTTTGTCTTCCAGAGCCTTACTGCTGTGCTCTGTTAAGGGTTTTAAGAGTTGTGAAAGTGTGTTAGTTGGGTGTATACCTGTTAACGTGAATTGAAATATTCTCTTAGAGTATTTAGATAAACTGGATCCTTTGCATTAAATTGTCAGGACTGGTATTGTGCCAGTTTTGTTTTCATTCTTGTCTGTCTGTGTGTGTGTGTGTGTGTGTGTGTGTGTGTGTGTGTGTTTCGGGCTGGTGTTATAAAAGCAGCTGACCTCACTGGACCACTGATCAATGCTGTCACTGCCCTCAGATGTCAGCATCAAAGCTGTGAGCTAAGCAGTGAACAAAGATGGACTTAATATGAGTTTAATTAGGAGAAAGAGAGAAAGAAACTGAAGGGAGGGAGAGCCCCATCTCTTTAAACCTTTGCCACAAGCCATGATTCATCATCAGAGCTCACAGTGTTTTGATGTGTCGGTGCCCACAGGCATCTGAGCTTCTGTCCCTTTCAGCTGCTCCTTAACACAAAACAGCTTTAAACTTCATGCAGATGAAATGAAAAGAGCGATGCTGGTTCACTGAGAGGTATCAGTTACCCTGTTTCATGACGTGGTTAAGTGTCTCGAACATGTGTGTTTATTATAGGAGGGTCTGCCTGACGTGTTTTCAAAGCATTGTTCCTCCACCCTTTGCATTAACTGGACCTTCCATTCTGTCAACCGAAAGATATCCTCATTAGCAAGAAGAACAAGTCATCCACATCTATTATGGATGTATAAATATCACAGTAGACACAGAACCCGGCCCAGTTCGATTTCCACTCGGGAGCAGCGCTTGCATCATCAGTGTGGCATGGATCAGTGTAAAGCAGTGCAGGCTGCTGGTTTGGTGAAGAGGGAAAATCAATGTTATTGAGTCTGCTTGCTAACCCCCCTTCAGGCTATGACCTGTGCTTCTTGCGCTGGCATATGATATAGTGTTTGTGACACGCTCTTTTGATCCTTGTCTGCGTTCACGTTTGCCTTAAAATGAGTATTCTGTCATCATTTACTCACCATCATGTCGTTCCAAACCTGCATGACCGTCTTTCTTCTGTCTGTGGAGCACAAAAGGAGATGTTCTAAAGAAAGTAGCTCTGAAAGCATACTTTGAACAAGGGGTTTAAACAAATAAAAAACAACACATGAAACAAAATGATATGGGTTTGGAACAGCGGGTTTATTAGCAGCTAAACTGGATTTGAAATTAACACCAAATGTGAGTAAAGGTGGCTTTTCTTGATTAAATAGTTTTTTATAAAAAATAAAATAAATAAATAAAGGTGGCTTTATTGAATGAATGAATTAATTAATAAATAAATAAATAAAAAAGCTCCTGTACAATTGACCAAAGGTGGCTTTTCATGATTAAATAGTTTTTTATAAAAAATTAAATAAATAAATAAATAAATAAAGGTGGCTTTATTGAATGAATGAATGAATTAATAAATAAATAAATAAAAAAGCTCCTGTACAATTGACCAAATATAATATTGGAACAATAAAACATGGTCAAAATGGCAAAGTATGAAAAAGAACAATCAATCAATCAGTAAGATTTAGAAATCATGACATGCAGAAGAAAAAATAGATATAATGTCCATAAATTAATTTGTTAATTGAATTTAGTAAATTAATGTATGGCCATGTTTTATTAATTCATTTCAGCATTTTAGTTAAATCATGGCCACGTTGTGCTAATTTGGTGCCTCGTTTTAGGTCAATCGTGACCATGTTGAACTAATTTGCTCCCTCATTAATTTAGTTTAAACATGGTCATGAAAGACAAAAGAAACAAATTAGTACAACGTGGCCGCAATTGAACAAAAACAAGGGAACACACTGGCAAATCATGGGAACAAATTCTGCAAGGCTACAATAGAGTGCCGCGGCTAAGACAAATTCGCCATGGGCTGCCTCACAATTTTCCTATGTTTTTTTTTATTATTATTTATCAGTAAAACATGGTCTGTGGTAAATATAAATTGATAATATTATAAATTAATAATAATTTAATTATTTAATTTAATTTTAATTAATTAATAATTAATAATTAATAATTATAAACCTTTATTTGACCCTCTAACTCTAACACTTTCTATTGTATTTTAATTCTGCTTTATCTATATTTATCTTTTACAACAAAAAACAGACACACACTAGCTTTCTATATATATATACTGTATATATATGTGTGTGTGTGTGTGTATAATATATATATACAAACCCTTGACCCTTACGCACAGAGATTGTTCCAGATTCTCTGAATCTTTGGATGATATTATGCACTGTAGATGATGATAAAAAAATAAAAATAATAATACTTGGACGTTTTGTTCTACAACATAAATTACACACTCATAGTGAAAACGCACATTTCGAAGGTTATGCTTATTTTAAAAAATGCATTCTTGTAATAAGTATCTCCATAAGAACGTTTGGGGTATGAGCGTTTGCATTTTATGTTGTACAACAAAACATCAAATTATCGTCAAGTTATGTTTACCACAGACCTTGTTTTGCTCATGAATATCAAAACCCCATTATAAAACCCCATAAGAAAATCTGGAGGGAACTCATGGCAAATTAGTCTTCTGTGTGTGACGTCACAACTGCAGGACTCTATATCTCAGGACTCTATGACTCTATATCCCCCCACATGTGTATCTCTCTATAAGTAAACCAAATGTTTCTTCTTGCATTGTTGTAATTGTAGAATTTCACACACGTTTGCCACAACAACAACACAAAGGTACAGCACCACAGACTCAATCAAATGTGTTTTGTGAAAAATAAAACAAATGATGATGAGGTCTGGGATGGCACTTGGTGAGCGTGCAAGTTCTCTGTTTTTCTTGAGTTATGAAGTTCGTAATCACACAGTGTTTTTACTGACTTTCTGTCATCTTTATTTCCCTCTTTGAGGTACACAGAAATCTCTGTGTTGTTAATTTTACCATCACTGAAGCACTGGTGGGTTATTTTTATCTTCCGATCTCTGTGCGCTTCCTCAAAAGCATGAGCCAGAAATAGAAGCCGTGCAGTTTCCGCTTAAAATGATGAGAACAATCCTCCAGGAACATTTTAAATGGTGTCTAAACAAATCACCCTGTTGTGCTCCAAGATGATATTTGGTAGAAGAGATTCTGAGTGATAGCATTTATATGGAAATTCAAGTACCAAAGTGGCTTAAGTGCAATAATGAGGCCAAATGTGCAGCACTTTATGGTCTGAAGGACACACTAGCACTCCTGGACACACAGGACTCTATATCTCAGGACTCTATGACTCTATATCCCCCCACATGTGTATCTCTCTATAAGTAAACCAAATGTTTCTTCTTGCATTGTTGTAATTGTAGAATTTCACACACGTTTGCCACAACAACAACACAAAGGTACAGCACCACAGACTCAATCAAATGTGTTTTGTGAAAAATAAAACAAATGATGATGAGGTCTGGGATGGCACTTGGTGAGCGTGCAAGTTCTCTGTTTTTCTTGAGTTATGAAGTTCGTAATCACACAGTGTTTTTACTGACTTTCTGTCATCTTTATTTCCCTCTTTGAGGTACACAGAAATCTCTGTGTTGTTAATTTTACCATCACTGAAGCACTGGTGGGTTATTTTTATCTTCCGATCTCTGTGCGCTTCCTCAAAAGCATGAGCCAGAAATAGAAGCCGTGCAGTTTCCGCTTAAAATGATGAGAACAATCCTCCAGGAACATTTTAAATGGTGTCTAAACAAATCACCCTGTTGTGCTCCAAGATGATATTTGGTAGAAGAGATTCTGAGTGATAGCATTTATATGGAAATTCAAGTACCAAAGTGGCTTAAGTGCAATAATGAGGCCAAATGTGCAGCACTTTATGGTCTGAAGGACACACTAGCACTCCTGGACACACTCACCCCTCCCTCTCTCTTGCTTTCAATCATTGTACTTTTCTCTGGGTCAAGTGACTCATTTAAAATGAGTCAGTTAGGAATACTCATCAAAAGTGGCCACACGCTCTCAGCATTTTCTATAGGTTCATAGAAGGCAAAGTTTAGCATTTGAAAAGATTTCAGGAACACTTCAAGTTTTCATGATCATGTCATAATCAGTTCCAAAAAAGGCTGAAAACTATACTGCTTGAAAACATTAATGTTGGGTACATATGTGAGCAGGGCTGGACTTAACCAAGAAGTGAGGTAAGCAGCCGCTTAGGGCCCCAGGGAATCAGGGGGCCACATCTGATATTGGCGAAACAGATTTGGCAAATGCTCAGGTGTGTATTTGTGTTTGGGCTCTGGAGAGCATCAGAGGTTTATATTTTCAATATGTTTTTGCAGCGGTGAGCAGTGCAGCCAATCACAGACATATCTGTTGAATTCTTGAATGCAATGGCCAATCAGAGGTGTTTAAGTTAGAATCCACTCACCACTCCAGACGCCAGAGTTTTTGTTTGGTGCTGAGTTCTGTGTGTTCACAAATCCTCTCATTGACTATATGTTTACCTGTGCACCAGCAATGTGATTATTTGCTTAGGGCCCCAAAATCACTAAGTCAGCCCCAGCCAATACCTACAACATCTTCGCATTTCCCCAGTTATAATTATAAAATTACTAATTTACATACTTATTTTATTTAGCAATCTAGTAGACTAATACTTACTTTATAATTGTTGCATACATTTATGGAAATCTCTCCTTCTTTGTCTGTTTCAGTGAGGACGTGTGTAAGAGGGGTTTCACTGTGATTATTGATATGCGTGGTTCTAAGTGGGACTTGATAAAGCCGTTACTGAAGACCCTGCAGGAAGCATTTCCAGCTGAGATCTGCGTCGCTCTCATCATCAAACCAGACAACTTCTGGCAGAAACAGAAGACTAACTTTGGCAGTGCCAAGTTCACTTTTGAGGTAAAAATGCAATTATTGAGTGGCTGTCTAGTCTTCTAATCCTCTCTCTCTTGTAGTGAACATACTACAGAGAGTTTGTATAAAATATCAGACTTCATGTTTCCTTGATATAATTAATTTATGGCTCACATCAAACAAGAGGCAGGCCGTCCTTACTTTCACCCTAAACTGACATGTCTGTTTCTACCTTCTCGCTGACAGACTAGCCTGGTATCAGTGGAGGGGTTGACTAAACTTGTGGACCCATCTCAGTTAACTGATGACTTTGAGGGATCTCTGGAATATAATCATGAGGAATGGATTGAGCTCCGGGTCGCTCTTGAGGAGTTCCTGGCCAGCGCTGTTCACCTCCTCTCCCGCCTGGAAGATCTGCAGGAGATGCTGGCTAAGAAAGAGTTCCCGGTGGATGTGGAAGGCTCTCGGAGACTCATTGATGAGCACACTCAGCTGAAGAAGAAGGTGATGAAGGCTCCAGTGGAAGAGCTGGACCACGAGGGCCAGAGACTCCTGCAGTGCATCCGGTCCAGTGATGGCTTCTCAGGGAGGAACTGTATTTCTGGAAGTGCCGACTTCCAGAGTGTGGTTCCGAAGATTGCCAGTCTGCTGGATAAACTCCACAGCACCAGACAGCACCTGCACCAGATGTGGCACCTAAGAAAACTGAAGCTGGATCAGTGTTTCCAGCTCCGATTGTTTGAACAGGATGCAGAGAAGGTGAGTCAGCACTGGTTTAACTTAGTATGAGTTGACAAAATTATATGACTGTTTATGACATAAGTAAATAAGCTGAGTGAGTGAGTGAGTAATGAGTTAGTAATTCAGTGAGTGAGTGAGTTAGTAATTCAGTGAGTGGGTGAGTGAGTGAGTAATGAGTTAGTAATTCAGTGAGTGAGTGAGTGAGTGAATGAGTAAGTGAGTTCGAGTCTCTGGTCCGGCGGGGATTGTAGGTGGGGGGACTGAATGTACAGCACTCTCTCCCACCTTCAGTACCACGACTGAGGTGCCCTTGAGCAAGGCACCGAACCCCCAACTGCTCCCTGGGCGCCGCAGCAAAAATGGCTGCCCACTGCTCCGGGTGTGTGTTCACGGTGTGTGTGTGTTCACTGCTGTGTGTGTGCACTTAGGATGGGTTAAACGCAGAGCACTAACTCCTAGTATGGGTAACCATACTTGGCCACATGTCACGTCACTTACTAAATAAGTCAGTGAATGAGTGAGTAAGTGAGTTAGTAATTCAGTGAGTGAGTGAGTAATTCAATGAGTGAATGATTGAGTAAATGAGTTAGTAATTCAGTGAGTGAGTGAGTAATTCAATGAGTGAATGATTGAGTAAATGAGTTAGTAATTCAGTGAGTGAGTGAGTGAATGAGTAATAAGTTAGTAATTTAGTGAGTGAGTGAGTTAGTGAGTGAATGAGTAAGTGAGTTAGTAATTCAGTGAGTGAGTGAGTGAATGAGTAATGAGTTAGTAATTTAGTGAGTGAGTGAGTGAATGAGTAAGTGAGTTAGTAATTTAGTGAGTGAGTGAGTTAGTAATTCAATGAGGGAATGATTGAGTAAATGAGTTAGTAATTCAGTGAGTGAGTGAGTGAGTGAGTGAGTTAATGAATGAATGAATGGGTAAGTAATCCAGTGAGTGAATGAGTAAGTGAGTGAATAATCCAGTGGATTTGGGAGTGAATGAGTAATTCAGTGAGAGTAATTCAGTGAATGAATGAGCAAGTATTTCAGTGAGTGAATGAGTGAGTGATTGAGTGAGTGAGTGATTCAGTGAGAGAGTAATTCAGTGAATGAACAAGTGATTAATTCAGTGAGCGAATAAGTGAGTGATTCAGTGAGTGAGTGAGTGAATGAGTGAGTGATTGAGTGAGTGAATGAGTGAGTGATTCAGTGAGTGAGTGAATGAGTGAGTGAGTGAGTGATCCAGTGAGAGAGTAATTCAGTGAATGAACGAGTGATTAATTCAGCGAGTGAGTGAATGAGTGAGTGAGTGAGTGATTCAGTGAGAGAGTAATTCAGTGAATGAACGAGTGATTAATTCAGTGAGTGAGTGAATGAGTGAGTGAGTGAGTAATTCAGTGAAGGAATAAGTAAATCAGTGAGTGAGTAATTTAATGAATGATCAAGTAATTCAGTGAGTGGTATAAATAAATATGTCCAAACCTATCATATGGTAAATAAAATGAAAAGGGTATAGAGAATGCTCAGATTTGTGGTACAGTGGTACAAATAAATATGTCCAAACCTATCATATGGTAAATAAAATGAAAAGGGTATAGAGAATGCTCAGATTTGCTCTTGTGGATATAAAATGGATATAAATAGTAGTTGTCACTCTATATCTATCATTAATATGTCTTAGAAAGATGATATTTAAATGCTTAGTTGTATGGTGAAAGCTCTGAAGGTCGCACACACACACACACACACACACACACACACACACACAAGTATGGATAAAAGTAAAAAGTTACTTTAGTACAGTAAGTGTTCATCTTGAAATATTACTAACAATTATAAAAGTTGTACTTTAGAAAAATCATTAAAGATTTCACAGCCACAAGATTAAATTATACTAAAAGGCCTTTTTCTTGCAAAAAAAAAAAATATATATCAATCAGATGACAGAAGACTTTTTTTTCAGGCCTTGGAAATTAGCATGATATTGTAGGCTTTATAGGGTTAAAAGTGTGACCTCACACTAACTCTGGCCACTTTATGATAGCAGTGAATTTGCGATAAATGTTCAGACATAAGGTGATGGGCCAGAGGGGCCGCTCACAGGGGCCCGTCTGATGCTGAGTACACATAAGTGCTTTGCGTTGATGATTTAATTTCACTCAGAGTGCAGCTGTTTATTTTTAGCTACCACACACACAACCTTTCACTCGTCGCGGGTGTGCATGATTGAAAACCATTTGTCTGTCAATGTGCCAGGCCTTCTTGTGTCAAAAGGCCAAGAGTGAGCAGTCATTCTGCTAATTAATACCTCAGTCCAACTTCTCTTAGAATGAGCCCAGACCTATTAGATTAAACTGTCCATTTAATGTAATAGGAATGCAGGCAGTCAGCTACATTATCAATTATGCTGTCTCTCAGCTCTTATCTTGATTACCAGTGCAATTAATTTGCAGCTCTAATTAAACATTTATTTAGGACAGTTATTCGGTATTGAAGGATATATTGTTTATAACTCAGAGGCAGCGGAGGCCATGGCGGTGAAACATGTGGACAGAATTTTAATGACTTTGTTATTTGCATATTTGTGTATTATTCATTATGTTGCATTTTGATCTGTTAATTAAAGCATGCTTATGAATAAATTAATGCAACAACTAAAGCTTTGATGTGTAAAATATGTACAGTTGCAGCAGTATAAGGTTTAGAATGGATTTTGCATTAATTGGCAATAACATTTATAAACCATCTTATTGTTTGGACTCCAGGTAGAAGAACTTTTGTAGAAGTCAGCTTTTAGAATTTAGAACCATGGTTTTCTGCATACATTAGTCATAACATTTCATCTGATCTTTAATGGCAGAGAAAATAAAAAAAATTTTTTTGGTAAACCCTAACGGGATCACATACTTTTTCTTGCAACTGTACATAGCCTATATGATGTCTCAGGTGGGAATAGCAAACTCTGACTTTGACAAAAAGGCATTTATGATGCAGACTGTGTTAAACTGTGTTAAACAACTGATACCTGTGCTTTAGAGCAACATATTATCAACAAGTGGATTCATCTAAATTAGAAGGGTTGTCATGACAACACAGCAAACCTCGCTGATTGTATACAATAATCCTTCATTTTTCCTACTAAAACACAGAACGCTGTTAATCCAATAATATCTCTCTATATTAACATGCTTATCTAAATGGATTCCTTATCGTCTGTTGAAACAAAATGCTTAAGGTTTTTACATTTGTCATTCTGTTATCTTTCCTTAGCCTGTCGTATGTTAGTCTGTGTGTTTGATTAATTATGCATGCTGTCAAATTAATAACAAAGCCCCAAACGTAGTGGTGTGTAAACTTAATAAAGGAATGGTGCAGGGTTATATGTAATAAATGACTTTCTGTTCTCATCTCTCTGTAGATGGTTGACTGGATCAGTCACAATAAGGAATTGTTTCTTCAGAGCCACACAGAGATCGGTGTGAGCTACCAGCACGCTGTGGAGCTACAGACTCAACACAACCACTTTGCCATGAACTCCATGGTATGTCATGGTGGTGCTTGTAGAAGTTTAGTTTGCTAGTCTTGTAGAATGTCACTACTGCTTAACGTCTTAATTTCATAAGTATTTGTACGTTTATACCAAATGATCAATTCTCCAAATCATAAAATACACTGCTTAAAGGGTTAGTTCACCCAAAAATGAAAATTAGGCTGCGTTTTACTCACCCCCGAGGCATCCTAGGTGTATATGACTTTTTTCTTTCAGACGAATCCAGTCGGAGTTATATTAAAATTTAGTCTTTGATCTTTCAAGCTGTTTAATGCCACTCAGTGGGTGTTGCATGCATCAGTCCAAAAGAACTTAAATAAAAATCGCCCATCCATTAAAAAAGTGTCTCACACGGTTCCGGGGGGTGAACAAAGGCCTTCTGTAGCGAATCGATGCGTTTTTGTACGAAAAATATCCATATTCAAAACGTAATAATCACTTGAATCTAGCTTGCGCTCACTGTTGTACACGGAAGCAGCTCCGGGAGGATGACGTATGAGGTCAGCTTTGCGCATGCGCCCCTCAGAAGTGACGCACGCAGAAACTCAGGGGAGAGATCAAAACAAAACAACGGTCAAGAATTAGAAGTACAAAACGAGGATTTGTAAAGAAGAATGTCAGAGGATTTCGATATAAGCCAAGAGGAGACTGGTTTTCCTTTGCTAAAGTAAGGAAACTTTGCTTCCTTTGCTCCTGTTAACAAACGTTGGTTTTCACGAGACTCACCGGAGCGTTCGCAACACTGAACTCATACGTCATGCTCCCGGAGCTGCTTCTGTGTATAACTGTTGGCGCAAGCTACATTAAAGTGATTATTACATTTTGAATATGGATATTTTTCTTACAAAAACGCATCGATTCTCTACAGGAGGCCTTTGTTCACCCCCCGGAGCCGTGTGAGACACTTTTTTTGTATGGATGGGCGCTTTTTATTTAACTTCTTTTGGACTGAAGCAATGCAACACCCGCTGAGTAGCATTAAACAGCTTGAAAGATCAAAGACAATGTTTAATATAACTCCGACTGGATTCGACTGAAAGAAGAAAGTCATATACACCTAGGATGCCTCGGGGGTGAGTAAAACGCAGCCTAATTTTCATTTTTGGGTGAACTAACCCTTTAAGGATTGTCATGAAAGTGTGTCATTCATACCATTTTAAAAGGAAAGTTCACTGAAAAATTTTATTTTATATACATTTATTCACCTTTAAGAATTTCAGTCATCTTTGCAACATGAATAATCTCTCCACATGAATATTCTTTTGTCCATGCATTGAAAAGCCACAGTGATCTATATGAATTGAGCAGTTTAATCTAACTCTTCTGAAGAGATACAACCACATTCACAATCGTAAAGACACAATCATAAATGGCACCTCATAGTGCTTAACTGACATACGAGAACCAATGAGGTTTTTCTCATGTATCAGGCAAGCACATTTGGGCTTCTGTTTAATATATTTAATGAGCTCTACACTGTAAAATCCAATAGTTTACCTTACTTAGATTTAGTTAGTTATCTTTACTTAGTTGTTATACTTACTAGGTTTTATTAAGTTACAGCTACTTTCAAGGCAAATAAAACTATTTACTTACTGTTTTGAGTGACACTTACTTAAAATATTCAAGTAGCCACAAAGGAACCAATGACATTAATAAACCAATGAGAGGCAGCAGTGCACTAATATGTTGCTAATGTGCAACATAACAACAGCAGAAGAAGAAAAGAAAACGAGTCTTAATAGACTTTTCACTCATTTCCTCCACGTCTGCAGTTATCTTTCAGTAGTTGCATTCAAGCCATGTCAGAAAAATCGTACTTACAAGTTGAATGCACATGAACGTCACCATCACAAAGTCATAAATACAAGAAAGAAACTCAAGAACATAAAAAAGCTAAAACACATCCGATGCACACTCTTTATTAATCAGTTTGTAGATGCTGAGTTAAGAAATCATGTTGAATTTTATGTAGAAATGGTACATCGACATATTACTCCGACCAAAGTCATTTTTAATACTTTTGACTTTCAAACTCGTAAATACAAACTTCCCTGGAGGACTTGAAAGCACCAAATGTTTATGCATTGATCAATGTTTATATGAATGAATAAAAAAAAAAAACTAAATTAATTCTGTTTATCAAATAAAGTGATTGTGTCTCTTCAGAAGACTTGAATTAAACCATTCAATCCATATGGATTGCTTACACAATGTTTTTATGAATGATTTGAATGCTTTTTGATTGTGTGAACAAAAATGATGAATATTACGGTAACACTTTAGATTAGGGAACACTTATTCACTATTAACTACGAATTTTCCCTCAATAAATTCCTAATTTGCTGCTTATTAATAGCTAGTAAGGTAGTTGTTAAATTTAGGTATTGGGTAGGATTAGGGATGTAGAATAAGGTCATGTAGAATAAGGCATTAATGTGTGCTTAATTACTACTAATAAATGGCTAATATTCTAGTAATATGCATGCTAATTAGCAACTAGTTAAGAGACCCTAAAATAAAGTGTTACCAATATTACAAATTCAATTCAAGTATATTTGTATAGCGATTTTCACGATGCAAATCGTTGCAAAGCAGCTTTACAGAAAATTAAAGTTTCTACATTATATTTAGTAATATAGTAAAAATATATAGTCTTTTTTTTATTTTTTACGAAGATGAACGAAAGTCTTATGGGTTTGAAACAACACAAGGGTGAGTATGATGATATAATTGCCATTTTGGGGTGAACTATCCCTTCAGGAGGTGGGTGAGCTGGTCAACTGTTCCCAGTCGTATTGAGGAACATACCAGCTTAACCAGCTTCCCACCATCATAGCAGAGGTCATCCGCCAGCCTTTATGCAGCTATTGCAGTCTGATTGGTTCTCTGATGCTCACCGGATGTCGTTCAGAGAGCTGTCTCTGTAGCTCCTGCAGTCTGCTCAGCTAGCCAGAATTCCTCCTAGCACTTTAATCAACCTCCCAATCATCTGAGCTCAGAGACACAAACACACTCACGCTGCTCATTCATCCTCCTCTTCTTTATCCCAGCATGATTGTTGTTTTATGCCTCATTAACTTTGATTCTAATATGAGTCTGCTTGTGTTCATGGTGTCATTACTCTGATCTGGTTAAACAGATGGCTTGTTCTACCTTTAGTCCTCTTAATATATGGCTTCAAATATTGTATACTGTTTATTGTATATGCACATTCATACAGTTCAACTAATGAATTATATTATTTGATGAAAGGATTTGTTTATTCCAATTAATGAACATTTGTTTAACAATTATTAATTGTTTATTATATTTATTGAACATAGGTATGTTTTATCATGTTGTTGACAGGATTATATAAAAATAGAAAGCCACATTAGGAAATGCATTACCGTTATTTTGTCAAACACTCCCAGAAACAAAAAGGCACAAAAGCTGTCACTGGAGCTGTATCTTTTAAAAAGGTACAACTTTGTACCTAAAGGATCCATACTGGTACCTTAAAGGTATATTTTGGTACCTAAAAGGTGCTCAAATTGTACCTTTTGAAAAAGTGCTGCCCCAGTGACAGCTTTTGCACCTTTTGCTGTAGGTTAGGTCAAATAAGGGCCTTGTGCCTAAAGGTGTCACATTTACTGTTACAAATCCAGCCATTTCAGTAGAAAAAGGGCGAGCAAATTCACTCATGTTAGCTGAGCTTCACACATCACTACACTATTGACAATGGACATTGTACCTTTTAGCATGCAAAATTACGCCTAAATTTTACTAATGTGACCTCACTTTAAAAACGTGATCTCTCAGGTTTCCTCATCTCTGGTAAAATCTCTGTAGTGCACATCTGCCAGTGATTTATTGCTTTATTTAAATACCCTGATGTTGGATTCTCACTAGTTTATATGACAGCTTGCTCATAGGTCATGTTTGTTTATTGCTCCCGCCTTCACATGTAACGATGCTCTCCGATCTCACGTTTTCCAGAATGCATATGTGAACATAAACCGCATCATGTCGGTGGCATCGCGGCTGTCGGAGGCGGGTCACTACGCATCTCAGCAGATCAAACAGATCAGCACACAGCTCGATCAGGAGTGGAAGAGCTTCGCCGCCGCTCTCGATGAACGCAGCACCATCCTCGCCATGTCTGCTGTCTTCCATCAGAAATCCGAGCAGGTGCCTGATTTCTTATTTATCATCTGTGTTTCTCATCTGTAGCTCTCAGAACAGGCAAATGCTAAAACTATGGTGGCAGTGGTGTAATAGTTTCTAATGGTCTGTGTTTGTGCAGTTTCTGTCTGGTGTGGACGCGTGGTGTAAGATGTGCAGTGAGGGTGGGCTGCCGTCAGAGATGCAGGATCTGGAATTGGCCATTCATCACCATCAGACGCTTTATGAACAGGTCTCTCAAGCTTATACAGAGGTGAGAACTCAACTCTGTACGATATCCTGTATTTGAATTTATGAACAGACTTTAGCTAAACTAATCTAAAAAAGATAATATTTCACTTCACCAGGAGCCATGTGTGCTGGCACAATCATCAATGTACACCCTTATTTTTGATAGTTTTCTCACCAATCACTCAGGTGTGGGTCATGTCTAAAACTGTTCAGTCTCTGTGCTTATGTTACATAATCAGCATTCTACAGCTGTACTAATGTTGTTTGAACTAAAATAAATTAGTGAACCAGTCCTAATTAATCTGAAGACATAACAGGAAAACAATGCCACGATGTTGTTGTACTGCATGAGTTCACAGACCTCCACCCTTCATACTCAGACACCAGTGTTTTTATGTGTCCTGTGTATGATTGAATATTCATCCATGTGTTTCCAAGTCCTTGATCATTTACCCATGACTCTGTTTAAAGATCTGACATTAGAGAATGTGGCTCTGTTGTAGATCTCGTTTAAAACATAGAATCATTCACTGTCACGTTGTCATGTTGACCTCAGTACACAATACAATATCAAATATAAAATATTTTTTGCATTCAAACATTTTAAAATGAAAACTGGTACAGTTTCTGTTTGGTCAAAATGTTTTAGTGAACACCGTTTTAAACCACTTCATATAAAGACACTACAATTCAATGTTTGGGGTCAGTAAGATTTTTCAAAATGTTTTTAAAACAGGCCTCTTATGCTCACCAAAGCTGCATTTATTTGCACAACAATACATTAAAATACTGTGAAATGTTTTTACAATTCAAGATTTTGTGGAAATCATGATTCAGTTTTCAGGATTCTTTGAAGATTAGATTTTAAAAAAAAGTATTTGAAATAGAAATATTCTGTAACATTTTGATTGTCTTTACCATCACTTTTGCTCAAATTAATGCATCCCTGTTGATTAATAGTTCTCATTTCGTTCTCTCTCTGCAGGTGAGTCAGGATGGTAAGGCTTTGCTGGACGTTCTTCAGCGGCCGTTGAGTCCCGGTAACTCAGAGTCTCTGACTGCATCAGCTAACTACTCTAAAGCCGTGCACTGTATTCTGGATGTGGTCCATGAGGTCCTGCATCACCAAAGACGTCTGGAGAGCATCTGGCAGCACCGTAAAGTCCGTCTGCATCAGAGACTGCAGCTCTGTGTCTTCCAGCAAGACGTCCAGCAGGTAGATGAATGCTCACATGTCTACACTCTCGCAGACACTCTCACTAAGTTGCCTACTTAGATAGCAGTTTTGCAATGCAATGTATGGCAAACACCAAGCTAAATAAACATGGTAAAATACTGTGATATATCTAAGTACCATGTTATTACCATATGATGTCATAATTTTACCATGGTACCACATCAGTACTAGTAAATAAATCATTTTCATGTTTTTTCTTAGATGTGCTGCAATTCATCCATAATTTAAAGTGCAGGATGCTTGAAAGAGAAAATTTGTCAACAGTTCACCATAAAGTCAGAGTTGTACAGTTTTATACACAGTGTGTATTTTTTCTTCGAGTATTTTCAGTGTTGGATATTTGCCCAGAAGAGCAGTTAATATCTCTCCATTAGCCTCTTTCAGCGTGCCTGTGGCAGCTCTGGGCCTGGATTCAGCTCAGGCTTTATCAGGCCGGGGTCAGTCCTGCAGACAAGCCAATAGACCTGGCCAAATCAAGATCTGAACCAGAACCAAAGAGCTAAAGAGCTATGAGGCCAAACCCAGGCCAAACGGGGGCCAGATTCAGGCCAAACACAGGGCAGAGAGCAGCACAGATGACACTCTTCATTACGCTGAACAGTAAAACGGACCGTATTGGTTGTTTTTAATCCTCTCTATTCTCTCTTCTGAACCTTATGACTCCAAAGTGATAAACTATGTGCACTTGTAGTGTACCTCAAATCTTAAAAGTATATATTTGAAAAAAAAAAACTGTACTTGCAGATAATAATCTTAATATAAAAAAATAACACTTTAATTAGGTGTAATTAAAGAGAGCACACATTCATGACTGTTTCTTAACATTTTTCAACACGCACTTTGTAATAATCTCAAATTAAAAGTTTTACTTTAAAGTACATTTTCATTATGTTTTAATAATATTTTGTTGTGCTTTAAAGAATCACTTATTTTGATTCGGTAATACCTTGAAAGGAAATATATCTCAAATGTACTAAAGTGCAAGTTTATCTTTACCGCGGTTCCGGTCCTGCTATTGCTGAGGCACAGCGGTGAATGAGATCTTGGGGATCGCAAATGGATCTGGCAGAGGGGTTAGAGACTGGCATGGCCTTTTCTCTGCCTTCACCTATTAGATCCACTGCTCCTTCTCTGGGCTCAGAAGCCCGCACTGCGGTTTCTTCCCCCCAGAGGGAGGGCACTATGCTTCGCCTCTCTTCCTCTGAGGAGGTTGATGTGGCGAGCATGGAACAGAGTGAGACTGAGGACTCATCACCTGAGTGTGTGTTCAGTATGAGGAGCTGCTGGAGGTGGTGACTCGTGCTGTTGATAGGCTAAAGATAGAGTGGCCAGCTGAACAGCAGGAAATTCGTTCTAAAAGTAAACTGGATGAGCGTTTCCTGTGCTCCAAGTCACCTCCTCCACGCCGGAGCCTTATCTTCTTCCCTGACCTTCACTCGTCTACATCATGGGAAAGGCTGTATTCAGTTCATCTTTTCAGCCCCAATGTATCAAATTACTCCAACATTTTAGGGCTGAAAGACAACGGCTATGGGATGATACCACGGGTTGAACAGACACTGGCCAGCTATCTTTCCCTGAAAGCGGCATCATCCCTGAAGGTTCCAGTGCTATCCAAGCCCTTAAGATCCACTTTGGCTTTGGTGGGTAAGGCTTACATGGCGGCCGGTTAGGCTGGCCCTCGCCTGCACACTATGGCAGTCTTGCAGGCATACCAGGCTGACCTGTTAATGGACCTGGGCAGCGAGGACGGCTCAGAGGATATACAAGAACTCCGCTAGGCCACAGATCTGTCCCTCAGAGCCACCATGGAAACGGTCAGAGATATCGGCCGTTCCATGGTAGCCTTGGTGGCCACTGAGAGACACTTGTGGTTGAACCTGTCCGACATTAAAGAGAAGGACAGGTTCTTCCTCCTGGAAGTCTCTTCGGGCCTTTTCGGCGATGCAGTGAGCTCTGTTGTCAAGAGGTTCCAGGAGTCTAGAAGGCAGCCATCGGGAAGCTCCTCATACAGGGTGTAGCAGAAAAGGAGCGTCGCTTCTGTGTCCCCCTCAAAAAAATCAGGGAACGGAATGGCGCTCTCAGCCAAAGCCTTCTAGAGAGAAGATGGATCTGAGGACTGTCATTCTCTCTAGGAAGGCTTCGGTGAAGAGGTCCTGACACTCAAGGCTCCAGGCTTCTTAGGACAGGCTCCTCTAGGGAAGAGAGGAGGTTATCTCATCATATGGTGCCCATCTCTCCTCAGTGTCCTCAATGCAGTCAGATCGGATGGTCCCTGCCGGGTTTCCGCTTCAGGGCACAAAGTTGGCCTCTCATATTACACCAGAAACCAGTCTCGAGAGGTGTCACTTACACCAAGTGTGTGGATGCAGCTCTGGCTCCTCTCCTAGAATCCAGGGCATCCGCATTCTAAACTATTTCGACGATTGGATGATTCTGGCTCAATCAGAGCATGTGGAGGTTCGGCATCGAGATGTCGTCCTCACTCATATGACAGAGCTGGAGTTAAGGCTAAAAGCTAAGAAGAGTGTGCTTTCTCCAGTTCAGAGGACCATTTATCTTGGCATGGTGTGGGATACGACAACGATGCTGGCACGTTTGTCTCCTGCTCGTACAGTGAACAGTATGTTCAGAAATGAACAGTATCAGACTAGGCCAGTCACTCACTGTGAAACAGTTTCAGAGGCTAGTGGGTCTGATGGCAGCTGCATCCAGCATCATTCCTTTTGGCCTGCTGTACATGAGACCCTTGCATTGGTGGCTCAGGACCAAATGGTTTTACGAGAGGGGCAACCCATTTCGCTTGATCAAGGTCACGCGTCGATGCCTTTGTGCCTTAATCATGTGGAAGAAGCCTTGGTTCCTGTCTCAAGGTCCCGTGCTGGGAGCTCTTTGTCGTCATGCAACGCTTATGACAGATGCTTCCCTCACGGGCTGGGGAGCAGTCATGAGTGGCGGCTCTGCCCAAAGTCTGTGGGAAGGTCACCATTTCATGTGGCACTTAAATCAGAGGTAGTTGGTAATAGTGATGTCAAATTTATTGTATTTCAGGTGATGGACTGTGTTTCAGTTCTGTTGATGCACTGCTTTGTAGATTTATCAAGGAAATAATTTAATTTACCTTGTTTAAAGTTGATCTGACGTGATGATTGGTTAAAGCATCACTCACAGATTTTCTGATATTAAAGTTGATCTCTGATTGGTGCAGTTGGATTTCACCCTTCAAATGCCGATCAGGTGGAACATGCTAAACACTTTAAACACAAACATATGGCTCTGATAAACCTGGATCATCGATTTTAATGAGATATCAACATACTGGATGTTTTCTGAGAGACAGATTGTTATTATTACCCATATTTGGGGATGTTAGTTTGCCTCACCCTGAAATGTTTGCAATTCTTAAGTAATGGAGAGTGACCAAATGTCTTCAAGTGTGTAGTTAAATACAAGTAATGAGTAGGTTGAGTTTAGAGTAAATGAACAAACCTCCCACACTCCTACACATGCAAGTCCTGTTTGTGTTTAAATGCTACAAGTTAAAGGAATAGTTCACCACAAATGAGAACATGCTTCCTGAAAATGTCGTTTTTGGAGGTGGACAGTCAACATTGTGCTAAACAACAGTTTTTCTATTCCACATAAGAGAAATGCTAATTTCTGGATGAGCTGATTTCTTAAAAACTCTCTTGTGCCTGTCTGCATTAAACACGCTGTTCCTAGAGCTCTTCATATGATCCGTGCCTCAATCTGTGGCAGTCAGACGCCTGTCTTGATAAGATCAGAGCGAGTCTGCTGTGTTTTCTCTGCTTTTTGTCTGGGGCTAGTGGTGAACTGGTTGGGGTTAGCAGTGAGTCATGGGGTTATCAGCAGAGCACACAAGTGCTCTTGACTCGGTTACCTGGGAAACCATGATAACTGGAGTAAATGAGGGTCATAGTGGGACAGTCTGTGAGAGACTGACTGCTTCACACCCATGAGATTCCCATTCCATGCACTTAAGAGTTCTCTATCAGTCTGACATTATACATCTGAGGGTTTTTTTTACACATACTTTAGTTTTCCTGTGTTTTTATGGTAAAGGTCACAGTGGTTCCTTGACATTTATTTTAGACCAATGTGTGAGACAAGTTTCTTTGTAAAATGTCATCATTTAATTGCAATTATCATGGCAGTCCCCATGGTAACTGATGTGGCATGTGTGTCCAATCTATTAATCCTAAATAAATAAATAAATAAATAATCAGTATATATACAGTGGGGCAAAAAAGTATTTAGTCAGCCACCAATTGTGCAAGTTCTCCCACTTAAAAAGATGAGAGAGGCCTGTATTGCTACAAATCTGAAATTGCTAATATAATATATTCTTATTACATTTTTGTGATTCTTTTTATTGTTATTTGTTTTTAAATGTGATCTATGTAATTTCAAAAATAGTAAAATATATATCATATTTTATGGCACAATAAAGTGATTTCTTTTTCACAAAGTATAAGGGAAATATTACTTTATTTTTAACTTGACATTTACACCACTTGACATTTTTATAGTCATTAAATTTTAAGAACTTGGCACATGCATTTTATATGAAAGTTTGTTTCCGTCCTGGAATAGAAAAATATAAAGTACTGTAACTTTTTATCTCACAATCTGAGTTTATATCTCACAAATCTTACTATTGGGAGATATAAACTTGCAATTGTGAGAAAAAAAGTCAGAAGAGTTAAAGGTTGCAGTTACCTTTTTATTTGTTTTATTTCATTTTTGTATTTTGTTATTTTAATATTTCATTTTTTTTATTTTTGTGGTGAAAATAAGCTTCCATAATTGTAAACTTTTTTTTTTTGCAAAGCTTTTTCCTTATCATCACCTCATATATCTTTATTTGTCATTACAGCCTAAAACAGGAGAAACTGTAATAGCAGTTCTGAATGTTTACAAAATACTCCAGCCTGTTCAGTTTATTATGTCATTTCCTTGATTATTTCTTGTACTTGATTATTATCATAAGTTTGATTTGCTTTATGTAAACATCCATTTCAAAGCATAATCAATAGTTATGAACACAGCATCAACCATCATGCAAGTCACAATGACTGATAGTCGAACACAAATGCCTGATTGTTTTTGAATTATAAGTTGATTTATTTGGCCAAACAAGTGTTTGGACTGATTTATGTAATGGGTGCCATCTGTGAACTGCAGAACGTTGCCTTAAGCAGCCATATCCTGTGATGGACTCGTCACGCAGGACTATATTTATCTCATCAGCCTCTGTTAATGTGCGTGTGAAAGTAGAAGCTGTTTTTAGAACATGCACTGGATGCTTTAATCAATATAGCAGAAACAAGAACTCCCTGACGCAATTGTTTGCATGTTTGATTATCACTTGCAAACTCGCAAGTGTAGTAGAAGAACCACAGATACCATGACTGTAACTAGGAAAAAAAAGAGGTCAGATGCTTGGTGTTTGTGTAACGGAAGAGGTCTGACGCAACAGGTTAGTATATATAAAACTGATTTATTCGGTCACAGAGAGTACAGGGATAGGGTCCAGAGGATGGGATGGTGAATGAGTCGTTCGTGGAATAGTTCAAAGGATATGATGCGTGGGGGAATCCGAGTCCTTTGGCTTTACAGGAGC